TTATTTTTGTTGCTACTTCATAACTGTAGCTTTGCTACTCTTATGAATCGTAATGTAAATATCTGATATGCAGGATGTATTTGCATTCACTGGACCAAATTTGGCACAAATACCCGATATGCCCAAATTTGAATACTGGTGGGGTTGGGGGAATTGATTTTGTCATTTGGGAGTTGTAGTTGCTCGGATTTATAGTTCACTTTCAATCAAGGAGCGTTCTGAACTCCATCAACGATGGAATTGAACCAAACTTGGCACACAGAACTCCCATGACCAACAGAAAATTCTGGAAGGCATTCGTGGACATTGGCCTTGAGCTTTGGAGTTGTAGTTCACCTACATCCAGAGAGCACTGTGGATTCAAACAATGATGGATCTGGACTAAACTTGGCAAGAATCCTCAATATGCCCAAATGTGAACACTGGTGGAGTTTGGAGAAAATAGACCTTGACATTTGGGAGTTGTAGTTGCTGGGATTTATAGTTCACCTACAATCAAAGAGCATTCTGAACCTCATCAATGATAGAATTGAGCCAAACTTCCCACACAGAATCCCCATGACCAACAGAAAATACTGTATTTTCTGATGGTCTTTGATGACCCCTCTGACATCTACTTGCGACCCCTCCCAGGGGTCCCAATTCCCAGGTTGAGAAACACTGCTTTAAGGACAATAGAAATCCCTTTAAAATTAAACAAAAATGATACAACGTACCTTCCAGCTGCTTTAAGTACACTCGAATCAGGTGCCACTAAGAAATTGAATACTTATGGGACCATGTAGTTTGGAAATTGAGCCCTGCAAAGGATTTTGTTTAAAAATTACTATCTTGTTGAGAATATCGTAGTCAGAAATTGTGCTTCATGGCCAATAAAAGACAGTCTGTGCAGGCAGAAGTAGTTTTACACCTTTACACATTCGCTTCTTAAAAAGTTACTAAGACAGTTGTCTGATCGAACTGCATAATGTAGAGAAATGCAAGCCTGAACAAGTGGCAAAACAATTCTACTGGAAACCTCTCTTTTCAACAGTGAAGAAAAGTTGACAGCTATTCTAGGGGGAGAGCTTTGAAAAGCATCCATCTCGTGGAACTTTTATTCCTTGGGGCTCTAGCCATCACTGGGGTTGAATTCTAAAACACAGAAAAAGACTAAAAGATGATTTTTTTTTTAAACTTTGCGGTACATGCCATAACAATTGTATTCAAAATAAGTTTCAGAGCCACAAAATTTCAGGGCCTCATCACACTAGAGAAAAAACCCACTTAAAATCCAGTTTCTTCCTCTTGCAGAATTCTGAGGTTTGTAGTTTAGGGAGGAGCCTTTAACAGCCTCACTAAACTACGAGGGTTGAATGAAAAGTAATGCCTCCACCTTCGTTACTTGGGTTTGGATGGGAATATTTTAATAAATCAAACACAGAAATAATCCTTAGAATGTGCTCTTTCACTACCACTATTCACTTTCCCATATAATCACCAGACAATTGGATACATTTCTGCCAACTATGGACAAATTTTCTGAAGCCGTCATGGAAGAAGTCGACACTGTTTCCGCAACCCATTGTGCACAGATCTTCCAATAGCCAAGCAAAGCAATAATGTGACCCACACGTTCTTGTGAAATGCCGATTATGCTTGAAATTTCTCTCAGAGTGATATGACGATCGGTCTGAATCAATCTGTCAACCTTTTGCTTGTGAAACTCGGTCACCTCAACATCTTTGAACTTACTCGCCCAACAACGCACAGTACTCACATTAACACAATCACCATAAACAGCTTGCATTCTCTGATGAATCTCCTTTGGGGTGACACCTTCTGCTCTCAAGAATTCAATGACTGCATGTTGCTTAAATTGACCGACCATCTGCAGGGTTCCATACTTTGCACTTTAACAACACAACTGTTCAATGCTAAGGCTTCCTGCCAAAATTGAACTGTAGAGGAGAGTCTACCGAACAAGCCAGTATCTGCCGCATACCAGTACTGCCATCTGTTGAGGAGTTACAAAGGTGGAGGCATTACTTTTTATTCAACCTTTATTTATTTATCGTGTCATCAGCAACCAATTGTGTTACAATTCTAACAGAGCAAAACAAACACACAGATTAAAAAGAAAAAGAAAACACACAGATTTTGCAAATTTGGTAGTTGGTTAAATGTCCTTTGACCAGTATCTGGCCACTTGGAGTGCCTCTGGTGTTGCCGCAAGAAGGTCCTCCATTGTGCATGTGGCAGGGCTCAGGGTGCATTGCAGCAGGTGGTCAGTAGTTTGTTCTTCTCCACACTCGCATGCCGAGGATTCCACCCTGTAGCCCCATTTCTTAAGGTTGGCTCTGCATCTCGTGGTGCCAGAGCGCAGTCTGTTCAGCGCCTTCCAAGTCGCCAGTCTTCTGAGTGTCCAGGGGAGTCTCTCATCTGGTATCACCCATGGATTGAGGTGCTGGGTTTGAGCCTGCCACTTTTGGACTCTCGCTTGCTGAGGTGTTCCAGCGAGTGTCTCTGTAGATCTAAGAAAACTATTTCTTGATTTAAGTCGTTGACGTGCTGGCTGATACCCAAACAGGGAATGAGCTAGAGATGTCTCTGCCTTGGTCCTTTCACTATTGGCTGCTACTTCCCGGCGGATGTCGGGTGGTGCAATACCGGCTAAGCAGTGTAATTTCTCCAGTGGTGTAGGGAGCAGACACCCCGTGATAATGCGGCATGTCTCATTAAGAGCCACATCTACTGTTTTAGTGTGGTGAGATGTGTTCCACACTGGGCATGCATACTCAGCAGCAGAGTAGCATAGCGCAAGGGCAGATGTCTTCACTGTGTCTGGTTGTGCCATCAGGTTGTGCCAGTCAGCTTTCGTATGATGTTGTTTCTAGCGCCCACTTTTTGTTTGATGTTCAGGCAGTGCTTCTTGTAGGTCAGAGCATGGTCCAGAGTGACTCCCAGGTATTTGGGTGCTGCTGCAATGCTCCAGTGGGATTCCTTCCCAGGTAATCCTCAGAGCTTGGGATGCTTGTCTGTTCTAAGATGAAAAGCACATGTCTGTGTTTTAGATGGATTAGGGATCAGCTGGTTTTCCCTGTAATAGGCAGTAACAGCACCTAGAGCTTCGGAGAGCTACTGTTCAACCATCTCAAAGCTCCCTGCTTGAGCAGTAATGGCACGATCATCAAGAATGCTGCAGAAGGCAGAAATCGGATTTTAAGTGGATTTTTTCTCCTAGTGTTGAATGTTTGCTTTTCTGATAGAATTACATTATTTGATATTGGGAATTTTGCTTTGTTGGCACCGCAGAAAATGTAAGTCATACATTTATGAAGATCTCATTGTGAGCCACTGGAACTCATGTGCCGCTGAGCAATTCCCTTCATGGATGTCACTGTGGGTGAGTTGAATGTGCGTGCCATTGGCTAATCACCTTTGGCTAAAGCCAATCATCAGTATTAGCTAGATAGAAAGTGGGGATTACTGTGTATGATGAGTTAGTTGCATGCAGCTGTGCGTGTCTCCAACATGGCTCTGGAACCTCACGTAAATGATGGTTGCTTACCTGTAACCATGTTTCACAGGTGCATGAACTACCATATGTAGAATCATAGAGTTGGAAGAGACTTCATGGACCATCCAGTCCAACCCCTGCCAAAAAGCAGGAAAATTGCATTCAAAGCACCCCTGACAGATGGCCATCCAGCCTGTGTTTAAAAGCTTCCAAAGAAGGAGCCTCTACCACACTCTGGGGCAGAGAGTTCCACTGCTGAACAGCTCTCACAGTCAGGAAGTTCGCACAGTTAGGAAATTCTGTGCGCATTTCACAATGATCACGAAGGAGAAAGCCCATTCCCACCCTACATGGGTTTTTTCCCTAGCTGAATAAATGTGTAAAGACTTTAGGGGCTCCAGAGGGATGCTACGGGCTGTTCTGGGATGCTTTAAAAGTGTTGTTTCAATGTGCCCTCTGTTTTGAAACTCAAATAGACTAATCCACACTAGCCACCGTTCTTGGTAGCTCCAAAGACAGAAAAGAACAAGAACAGATATGAGTTGGTCCTTTTTTATTCTGGTATCCACCTTGCCCTACAGTTATTCTTAATTTCTTTTATGAAGGTACCCAAAACTCCTGAGCAAAATGATACATTACAAATCCTGTGGGCATCCTACAGCATTAGGAAGATGGAACAACTGCCTCCTTATGATAGTTTTGAAGATCTCTAGTATTTCCCTAATTTCGATGACTTCCTCAATCAAGTTATTAATATTCTGATTCTATTATAAGAATGATTAAATAATCAAGAATAAAGAATAAATATCGAAGTGGTAGAAAATGAATGTGGGGGCCCTGGTGGCGCAGTGGGTTAAAGTGCTGAGCTGCTGAACTTGCTGACCGAAAGCTTAGTAGTTCGAATACGGGGAGCAGGTGAGCTCCTGCTGTTAGCCCCAGCTTCTGCCAACCTAGCAGTTCAAAACATGCAAACGTGAGTAGATCAATAGGTACCACTTCTGCAGGAAGGTAATGGCTTTCCATGCAGTCATGCTGGCCATGACCTTAGAGGTGTCTATGGACAGCACCGGCTCTTACTATTAGTATTTTTGATCCATTTTTTGGTTTTAAAAAAGTGCTCAATAACTCTTCGATATGTGTCTTACAGACCCCCCCCCCCAAAAATTGTGCCGCAGATTAAACCAATGAGCTGCTGAACTTCCTGGCAGAAAGGTTGGGGATTTGAATCCGAGGAGTGGGGTGAGCTCCCACTGTTAGAGCTTCTGCCAACCTAGCAGTTCAAAGACATGCAGATGTGAGCAGAACAATAGGTACTCCCAGTGGGAAGGTAATGGTGTTCCATATAGTCATGCTGGCCACATGACCTTGGAGATGTCTATTGACAATGCTGGCTCTTCGGCTTAGAAATGGGGATGAGCACCATATCCTAGAGTTGGACACAACTAGACTTAATGTCAAGGGGAGATCTTTATCTTTTACCTTGAAAAGGACAGAGATACAATGACGACTTCAGAACTTTTAATACAGCCATAGTGAAACACAAAAATATATTTTAAAATGAGCTTGCAAATAACTAGACGCTTTGTGCTTTCTGTCCAAACAGGTAGATCAACAAATATAAGTCACTTTCTTAAAGTGCATTTTATATTTATCACATGAAAGTTATATATTTCTGAAAGAAGCCATGTACATTGTAACACAAGGAAAAATACATTAAACTATTTGATTTCCCTTTGTTTTTTTTTAAAAAAAGAAGTTTTCACACAAAATATTTTGTCGTATACACATTAAAACTCCAACATAGTATTCTCAAAACTACTGGCTAAAACTGGTTTGAGAACACCAATGTTTTTATACATGTATTTTATATATCTGTTCACTTACAAACAAACACACAGACACACCCAATCCAGCTTTGATACTCAAGACAGTTTGCATGGCAAGCCTATTTGCCTCAAGGCTCCATGAAAATGATTTCTATCATAAATATTTCATCCCTTTTACACGTCATTTTACAAGTATGTACATCTCTTACTCAAAGATCCTGCAACAAAATGGTGTCCGGGATGAGCTGCTAAATCCAATTGCTTGTCCCAAGTAAAGAAGACCCAGTGAATCAATGAGATATGCACCACAAATTATTCAGAAATTGATTCTATGGGGAATACTTTAGTTGGAAGCAAAGCCTTGTTGCTACTGTGCTATGTTTCCATAGCAGAAACAATGAAGGCAATCGCTAGTGCTGGAAGGCTCACTTCCTTTTTTAATGGATCGTAAAAGGACACCGGCCTGCAGAAGGCAGAAGACGAAATCATTTTAGTGCAAGTATATTTAATGGAATCATCTGTGTTCGACTTGTAACAAGTACATCATAATAAAATCAATCCAAAAGATTTGCTTTTGAAACTTCAGATATCTAGTTCTGTAAGAACTGCTTTCAGTCGAGCTCTTCACAATCTTCTACTGCTGATAGGAAGAAGTTGCATAGGAATTTTCTTCATCGTCCTCCCTGCTGAGGAAAAAATACATCTATCAAAATATGCAGACATGTCTAAAATTTGCTTCACAGCTCTTCAATCGTGGTTCAAGTAAACGAGTTCAATGTTGCAGCCTGAAATGCTGCCCAATGTCTGAGCCGCTCTGGGCCAGAGTGAAGAGAGAGGGGGCCAGGGGACAGTTCCATCTTGTCTCCTGCATATGTCATCAGTTGGGGACCCCTCCCATCAGCACCAACTGCCGCTCTGGGCCAGAGTGAAGACAGAGGGGGCCAAGGGACAGTTCCATTTTGTCTCCTGCATATTTCATCAGTTGGGGACCCCTCCCCAAGAGCACTAATTGCTGCTCTGGGCCAGAGTGAAGAGAGGGGGGCCAGGGGACAGTTCCATCATGTCTCCTGCATATGTCATCAGCTGGGGACCCCTCCCCTCAGCACCAACTGCCGCACTGGGCCAGAGTGAAGAGAGAGGGGGCCAGGGGACAGTTCCATCTTGTCTCCTGCATATGTCATCAGTTGGGGACCCTCCCCCCAGCACCAACTGCCGCTCTGGGCCAGAGTGAAGAGAGAGGGGGCCAAGGGACAGTTGGGGACCCCTCCCCCCCAGCACCAACTGCCGCTCTGGGCCAGAGTGAAGAGAAAGGGGGCTGGGGGACAGATCCATCTTGTCTCCTGCATATTTCATCAGTTGGGGACCCCTCCCCCCAGCACTAACAGCCGCTCTGGGCCAGAGTGAAGAGAGAGGGGGGCAGGGGACAGTCCCATGTTGTCCCCTTCATATTTCATCAGTTGGGGGCCCCTCCCCACAGCACTAACTACCACTATGGGCCATAGCAAAGAGAGAGGGGGCCGGGGGACAGTTCCATCTTGTCTCCTTCATATTTCATGGCCAAGTCAAGCACAGCTGGATGCCGAATATGAAATGAGGGAAACATTACCTCTGTTTAGGTACTGTCTGTCATTGTTGTTAATTGTATAATGGTATTGAATGTTTGCCATAGATGTACCTGTAACCCACTTTCAGTCCCCTTCGAGAGATACAGCAGAATATAAATAAAATATTATTATTATTATTATTATTATTATTATTATTATTATTATTATTATGTCCACTCTTAACCTTTTCTTTTCCAGGCTAAATGCACCTAGCTCCCTACGCTACTCATCATAGGGCTTGGCTTCTAGTCAGGCTGTGTTTCACTGATGAAAACTGAAAAACAAGGTTGTATTTTAGTAGGTATGTTACTAACTCACAGCTTCAGGTGTCACTGAACATCTAAACCCACTCAATCTTCCAACTGTATTCAAATAAACAAGCAGGGAAGATACTACCTGCTGTCTTCTGGTTTTAATTTCTGAGCTGCCTGCTTGGACAACTTAATCTGTAAATCCAGTCTGTGTAGAAAATCTTTGGCAGATAACTCTTCGGGTGGAGGAGGCAGACTGTCAGTTTCTGGAGGACTGGGTGAAGAGTTGTCTTCTTGAACTGTCACTGGACCTTCTTCACAAGACGACAGGCTGTCAGATTCATTCTCAGGAGACTCCAGTGCATTAAGTCCATTAAATAGCAATGGCTTCTCAGATATAACAGGGATATTCAATGTTTTCTTCAGATACATACAGTCATTTGTAAACAGTTTATTTGCCCTTTTTATTTGTTCCATCTGAAACAGAAAAAAAAAACAAATACTGTTTGCTGATTCAAGTCAGTCAAACGTGAGAATAGAACATAGATTCCCACAAACACTTTCCTGGCATGTGTTTGTTACTTCGATATATTTCAATTATATTAATTTAATTCTTTTGCTGCCCCTTCTTAGGGATTCTAAAACATTACCAGCTTTCCACACACCAACTAGGAGTATATTGTATACAGAAAAATAAAAGATATTGAATTTTTCTTTCCACCAGAGGAAACTGCAGGCATTTTTGCACATTTTTTGTTTTTAATTTTGGGCCTTCCCTGCAAAGATTTCATAACTTTTTGCACAAAACCTTTTTAAAGAAAAAAAAATCCTTATTTTTGACATAAGGTAAAGGTTTTCCCCTGACAATAAGTCTAGTTGTGTCTGACTCTGGAGGTTGGTGCTTATCCCCATTTCTAAGCCGAAGAGCTGGCGTTGTCCACAGAAACCTCCAAGGTCATGTGGCCAGCAAGACTGCATGGAGCACCGTTACCTTCCCACCGAAGTGGTCCTATTGATCTACTCACATTTGCATGTTTGCAAACTGCTAGGTTGGCAGAAGTTGGACCTAACAGCAGGAGCTCACCCTACTCCCCGGATTCAAACCGCTGACCTTTTGGTCAGCAAGTTCAGCAGCTCAGCGGTTTAACCTAATGCACCACCGCAGCATCTATTTTTGACATAGCATAGATAAAATAGAAAACACTCTACCAAGCTGTTATAAAAAAGAGGCTCATATGTTTTTTTGGAAACCCCCCTATCCTCAAAATCTGAAAATTCTCATAGCTTTTAATCAAGAAAATTCATACATTATTATTATTGTTGATGTTGTTGTTATTATTATTATTAAACCACTTTGAGTCCCCCCAGGGGTGAGAAAGGCAGTCTATAAATATTGTAAATAAATAAAATAAATAAATTACATATACAAGTCATCTGCTGAACAGTTTTATGTAAATATTCGAAAACATTTACCTAACTGATGCCTCAATTAATGTAATTTTATTGGTATCTATTTTTATTTTGAAATTTACCACTAACAGTAGTTGCTGCATTTTCCACCCTCGGCTTATATCCGAGTCAATCAATTTTCCCAGTTTTTTGTGATAAAATAAGGTGCCTCGGCTGATATTCAGTTCGGCATATACTCGAGTATATACGGTATTTATTTGTAAGTCACCCCAAGTCCTTTTGGGGAGATGAGGTGGAGTATAAATAAAGATGGTGATAATGATGATGATTATTATTATGTTTATATCCTGCCTTCTCTCTCCATACAAAGACTCAAAGCGACCTTTTAGTCAGCAAGTTCAGCTGCTCAGTGGTTTAACCCACTGCGTCACCAAGGGCTCCCATTTCTAACTAAGGCAATTAAAATTACCATTGTCTATTTTCTCTCCCCCCCCCCCCCATTTGATTTTCCATGGGCTCAGCATTAAATCGGTATTTTTGTTGTTTATTACTGTTTACTATTTATTAACTTCGAAGACACAAATATATTTCATCTAAAGCTGTGCAGTACCTACTTATAAACACAATATTTTCTCTAAGGCAGTGTTTCTCAACCTGGGGGTCGGGACCCCTGGAGGGGTCGTGAGGGGGTGTCAGAGGTGTCACCAAAGACCACCAGAAAACACAGTATTTTCTGTTGGTCATGAAGGTTCTGTGTGGGAAGTTTGGCCCAATTCAATTGTTGGTAGGGTTCAGAATGCTCTTTGTTTGTAGATGAACTATAAATCCTAGCAACTACAACTCCCAAATGTCAAGGTCTATTTTCCCCAAACCCCACATTTGGGCATATTGAGAATTCGTGCCAAGTTTGGTCCAGATCCATCATTGTTTGGGTCCGCAGTGCTCTCTGTATGTAGGTGAACTACAACTCCCAAAACTCAAGGTCAATGCCCACCAAACCCTTCCAGTATTTTCTGTTGGTC